TGTGGCGCGGATACGTCCTCAGAGCGGAAAAGGGCGTATCATTATCCTCCCAACTTTGAATCTTGACCTCCTGGTCAAGCTCGAGAATGGACGAAACAAGAGGAAAGTAAGACAGAACGAAAAAGCAAAAGGGTGGGCAGACGAGGTGAAAGGAAGTGACGGTTAGCCGTGCATGAACGGGAGCGGAAGCGTGTGATATAGGTGCCCGAGAGAGGCAAAGAAGAGGAACGAGGTCGAAGAGGAAAGGCAAGTTGCCTATAGACTGAAGTACGAAAAGAGAGGAAGGACATCCAGAAAGTATTGGCGAAAGGTAAGGGCGAAAGGTAAGGGCGAGGAAAATCGAAGCAAGGTGCGGCGGCAAACGCGGCGGGCACAACGGCGAGTGATGTCGTTCGAGGCGCGGAACTGCATGCGCGATGGCGAAAAGACGCGGGTCCCTCCTCCCAACTTTGAATGTAGACCGTCCACGGTCTAGCACGGGAGGGGCGATTCTACCGGCGACGCCTTGATGTTGACCGGGTAGCCTTGTTGAGACGGCGGGTCCGAACCCGGGGCGCGTACGCGAGCCGCGGAAATGCTACGCGCGCGTAACACGTTGTGGCGAAACCGGAAATGCGGCGGAACCCGACGAGGGCGTAGAGCGAGATGCAAGGGCAAGCGGCGGGGCGAACGGGAGAGATACGCGGTGGCCAGGATGTCCACCATCGACGGACGGGAGGGCGGCGACGGATAGGCAACGATGGGGAATTCCGAACGCGGGGAAAGCGACGGGAGCGGCGCGAAACACGGTTCGTCTTGAACCACCATGACGGACTGGCGGTGAAACTCGGCGCATATCTCTGGACCGGTTCTCTCGACGGCGACATCGGGCGGACTAGACGCAGGCTTCGCGGATACTGATTTCCTGGGCGACAAGCACGGAACGGACTTGAAGGCGGCGTCACTGTCAGAGCCTGGCTTTTTCGGCAGACGGATCTCGGGCGGCAAAGCGACAACCTCTTCGGCGGCGGCGTTCTCGGTTTGAGGCGATGACGGAGTGTTCCTTGGCGGCACGACGGTATCTTCGATGATAGCGGGACTGGGCGGCACAGCGAACGACAAATCTGGCTGCTCAGATCCGTGCAACTCGAGAAGAGGCTGGACAGACTGGAATGCGGCGAAGTCTGGGGGGTAAAAATTCTTCAATAATAGCGGGTCGGCGTCTCGAACGGGCGGCAACGCGACAGCGGGCTCGACAATATCTTGCTCGGGCGGCATCTTGACCATCGGGTTCGTGTCCGCAACGTTGGGAACGGGCGATGCTTCAATCAGCGACTTGGGCGGCTGTAACGTTGACGAATGGAGAGATCCGTGCTTGAACAACTCGTGCGGCGACGGGACGGACTCGGACGGAACATACGGCAGGACGGGCGGCGACGGTTGCGGCTGGTCGAGGTATAGCTGTGGCTCCAACGAAATCGGTAGTGGCGCGTACGGCGGAAACGTGCAGTCGGGCCCGTCGGAGCGGTCGAAGTCAGGCGTATATGGCGGCACGTATGGCGTATTCGGAGCGGAAAGATCGTCGGCGCATTGCGTAGTAGGTATGTCGAGCAGAAACGGGCATGGCGAACTTAGCTGACGTTCCTGCGCAGATAGACCTGTTTCGTTGTACATTGCATAGGAACCCGAGTGCGGATGCAGAATGAAATCTTCGTCTTGATTTGCCGAGTCCGAGATGGCAACGCTAAAGAGTGGGCATGACGGAGGCGGACGGGCGGCGAAGACGTCCGGATCGTTGACAAAGGCGCGTAGAGGTTGCTGATCGAGTTCGAGTTCTAGTGAAGCTTGTGAAAAATATTGTCGTACAACGGCGTCTACAAGCTCGGCAGGGTACGGTCGGTCTGCGTCCGGGGAGATTGATGCGAGCGCGACGAATACCACGGCGTGGTCCAAAGGCGAGAGCTGAAGTGCGTCGGCGAAGTACGCATCGCGTACGTGCGGCTTGACAATGCTGAGCGACACCAGCGGGTCGGTGAGCGCGTCGAATTGGTGTTTGAACGTGTTGTATCCGGCGATGGAGACGATCGGCGCGAGGTGACACTGATCGGTGACGAAATCGTCGAGGACGTCATAGATGACGGCGGCGGACACAGATACGGACGTATCGGGCACGGAAATGTCTGGCTCGATTGGACGAGCAACGCCGCGGGACGAAGGCGGTTCGTATACGGGCTCCGGCTCTGCGTAGGCGATCGAGTTATATCCGCGTTCTTGGAGAGCCTCATCGAAAGCATGCTGGACCATACGCGTGATCTCCTCAAGGGACGGAAGGCCATAGTCGCTGGCATCGAAAGGGTCGGTGGCGAAGGACGGCTCGGCGAAGTGCGGATAGATTGTCGGTGTGCGGGAATCAAGCCAATAGAGGTGGTCGGACATGACGTGAAGATGCGGGCGACTGAGTGAGGGTGACGGCGACGAGTTCGAGCTCGTGACGATGGCGGCGGCGGAAGCAGCGGGGCGGAGGAAGCACACGGGCGTCGAACGGACGGACGGGCGGATAGACGGGCGGACGGTAACGGCGGACGTAAACGTAAACGGGACGCTCAAGCTATAAGCCAACACGGGGCTTCGAAGTCACTTGGAGCGATAACGGCGGCGGCGGAGTCAAGCTGCTATAAACCGACAAGCGGTTTCTAATTCGCGAGCAAGACGATGACGGGAAAACGGCGGTTGACGGCAAGGAGACGGCGGCACGAGCTCTAAGCCAGCAAAGGCTTCGAAGTCGCGAGTGTCGGTAGAGGTGGTGGCGAGACGGGTAAGCTAGACTGAGTGTATGACAAAGCAGTTGCTGACGAGGGCGTCGGCGTAGATGGCGGCTGAGGTCGCTGCAGAAATGCACTTGGGCCCCTCGCGGTGGGCTCCAAAATGACAGGCTCGACGTCGTGTATACGACGTGTAGGCTATCGGTGTGTGCGAGGGT